AGTGTGCGAGGAAAACGATGGTGTAGTTGTTGGAGAAGATAAGATTGAGAGAGAGAAAAGCGGTGGGTGGGTTCAAAGGACACGTGGCATGAGAGAAAGACGACTTACGTGTCGCTCTTATCAGCCGGTTGAAAATAAACGATTTTTTTTCATAAATGATGGCACAACAAAAGGATACGAGGGAGGGAGGATATGGATGGAAATCTGAGAGGGCAACTTCTTTCTCTTTTTTTCGCAAAAGGGAAAGAATCCAAACTGCACGAGGAACAAACTGGGTATGTCCGCTCACTGACCGGTGGGCCTCGTCGGTCAGTAGCTCCGTCGTCAAGTCTTGTACTCTTGTTAGCTCGAGATCCAGACTCGAGAGCGCGAGCGAGTCTTTTCTTTCCATCCGCAGGAGATCCCGACGAGAAGGCGAAGGCGAAGCAGGCGGCGCAACCGAAGCTCCTCATGGCCCGCTCGTCCTCGCAGTCCCAGTCCTCCGTCGGCGGTGCCGGCGCCGCCGGATCCCGCCCAGCCACCGCCGGGCCCCGCGGCACGCCCGCCGCCACGGCCGGCATGCGCCGCCGACCCGGCCGCACCTCCTCCTCCGCGTCCGGTGGCGGAGGCTTCTCCGGCGGCGGAGGGAACAACATGCTGCGCTTCTACACCGACGAGGCCCCGGGGCTGCGCCTCTCCCCGACCATGGTGCTCGTCATGTCCGTCTGCTTCATCGGCTTCGTCACCGCCCTCCACGTCTTCGGCAAGCTCTACCGCTCCCGCACCGCCGCCTCCGCGTCCGCCTGATCAACCCGGTTCCTGTTTCTTCCTCGTCTCAGATCAGATCAGATGGTTTTGGTGTGTAACAAAGAGGTTGTGGTTGCTACCTGACGAGTTAGATCTGCCGAAGTACCCTACATGTTTAATTATGGTGCCCTTTGTGTTTCCATTTACCTTGTTGTTGCGATGAATTGTGGCTAATCACTTGTGCCTGTCAATTGAAATCATCAGAAGTGTGTACTTCTTGGGGATTGGGGCACAGTTTTGCCTGTCTGAGAACTAGTAGACCAATTATGCATCTCGCTAGCTTCATACGTTGCTTAATTAAGTACCTACTATGCAGTTCTCTTTTGGTTGTCATCAATTTTTATTAGAGAACTGGATGTTTCTGTCGGGTAATTAGGCACCTACTATTCGCTTCTGTGTCACTGTGATAATACTAGTAGCTAATCTTTCTTCACTAAATATAGTTTCTATATATAGAATAGTTATTCCATATTCATAAACACTCAAAATGCTCTGCTGTTTTCATGGTTTGATGGCCTTTTATGGTGGAAATTCTTCTCAATCTTTTGACAGTAATAAATGATGAGCGATCAATTTCTTTGATCTGGATTGGCATAAGCAATTCGCTAGTGTTGTAACGTATAAGACCGAACTTTAGCTATCAATCTTAAACATGGTGGTACTTTGGGCAAAATTGCACGTTTAGATGAATTTTAGTGACCTGTCTATTGATCTGAACCTTGGATTGTTGAATTTGCCCACCCTGTCGCAAAACCACAAGTTACCTTTGAAAAAGAGATAACCTAGAGGCTAGAGTTTGTGCAATGTAACTAACTGGCAGGATAATTTACAAGAACAAGAGATGTCTGGTATTCCCTCTGTCCCAAAATAAGTGTTAAAGTTGTACTAAAGTTGAAACACTTATTTTGAAACGGAGGGAGTATTAAAATTCTTTTTAAATGGAGGTTAGGTTTGTTCAGTTTTACTCCATAGTGGCCCAGGTACTGACATGGGTCAGCTGATTTCAGTAGTTCTTCTGATTTATTCTTGTGAATTGCTTTTCTACTTTTTGACAAAATGCGCGGTAATTTGGTTTGTTGGCTCTGCTTATTTTTCTTGTGGCACCCATTGCTCAGACAACCTCAAACTTTTGTGCCTGTGAAATGTGAGTATTTTCTAGTGATGGTTTAGGGGTAAACGTATCAGCTGTGCAATTCCGAACCAAGGTTTTGATGTGAACAACACGAAAGATATTGATTGATGTTGTTCTGGAAGTTGGCCTTCACGCTTGCTCGTTTCATTGATTCATCATTAGAAGTTCTGAACAAAGCTGTATTGTCAACAGTATTCACTGTAATATCCACTTGCTGCTTATCTGATCAAAAGTTAAGTGGCACAGAGCTAAGCAAGCGTACTCAGACAGAAGCAGAGGGTATGTGAAGCGGGGCCCATCAGATAGAGATATCACTAAGATTCCAAGAACCCACTCTTCTTCAACACTAACCTCAATCCAGAGGCAGACACGCCTAACGCAACCCATCTTGGGGAGCTACTAGCAGCAGCACCAACCTAACTAGATCACCGCTGACCGAACAAGAAACACAAAGAAGTCCACCAGATCAACGGTCTTTCCTCATAACGCCAGTACAATGTTTCGGTAACAGTGGGGCTAGCGATGAATTTCCTCTCGAGTTACGAACGCAAGAGGTTGCCTCATCCTATTTCATCGTCAAAGATTACACCCAGGCCCCATCTAACATTATTTTCTGCCGCCGCTACTCATCATCATCGGATTTTTCCACCTCTTCATTCTCGTACTCGGAACCAGAGCCATCTATATCCGCAAATGGATTCTCGTCACTGCTATCATCATCCTCATCCTCTGAAAGTTCTTCAGGATAATCATAGAGTGGGTTGTCTTCGGCTGCATGTTCAACGCGCAACTTTTAAGCTAATGAAGATCTTACCAATTAATTACAGAAGCAGAATGATTGTACACTTACCATTTGAGTCATCCGTGTCATATGGATACTCGTCATCATCGTAACATTCACCATCCTCATCGTCCACTTGCAACCTAGTATAAGAAGACTGGTCAGACAGAATCCCCACGAAAGAATGGAATCTAGTAACACGTTTGAATGAAAATTACAGTGGGTATGAAGCTGCAGATGCGCCCTCCTCCATGTTTGTATCATCCACCTCCTTGACAGTATATATGTCATAAACATCTGAATCTACTCATCAGCAAAAATATTCTCATTAATATTAGCGCCCAAGCAAAAATGCTTGTGATTACTATGAAATGCATTATTACACTTTGCCACCAAAACCAATGATCTAAACTCTTTCACACACTGTTAAAACTTACGTGGCATGAACACCTAAAAGGAAAGAAATTACATACCTTCTGACTGTGCTAGCGAAACAATATCAGATTCGATTTCTTCAGCAGCCGACGGCAAGTGTTCCCGTAGAAGCGGAAGAAAGTTGCATAAAATTGCACCCTCTTCGACAGAGGTCATCCTGCAGAGAGCATCATAAGGAACCACATGATTGTTCACCATTTTGCTTTAGAAGAATAGATAAGTTATCCAAAACAGAACTTACCGTGGTTCTGCTGGATGCTTCTCTCCATCAGAATCTACTTGGACAGCATCATAAAGATGACATATTTCTCTCAGTGTTTCATCAACCTCATTATTGTCTCCTTTCCGACTCTTCCATATTTGTGCAAAGCGGGCATTTCTTCCAAGATTCTATATAGGGCCATTGACAAAAACTATTACTAACAATGAGGGAAACAGAGAATCAACATCATCCCCTGTCATTGATGGATGCGAAGAAAATAACAACTTGGCAAAAAGAAGTCCTGCTGTCAAGAAAGCATAAAGCCCTCACCAGCTATGCAAAGGATACAAAGGTACACATTATTATTCCAAAGAAAACACAATCTGAATCTCAATCATAAGAAAGAAAAAGAGCGTGCTCTATGTTAAGGAGTATCAGTATTAGCCTAGGAGTCCTTATTAGGCTATGTTTCCCTCTTTGTACCCCAAGCCTTGTGTGCTATATATTTGCCCCTTGGGCTAGGCAATAGAGATAAGTTAAACCCATAGCACGGTATCATGGGCCCAGGTTTAGGGATTTTTTTTGGACGTCGCAACTCGCCCTCTCGACCTAATCTTGCGCCGCCGCCTTTCTCCTTGGCTGGTTGTGCTGACCTCCTCTCTGCTGGCGCTGCTCTCCCGCGCCTCCCGTCCGACTCCACCCCCTGATGCTACAATCGTCCGTGTCCACCACCCGCAGGTCAACCACGCTGCTACTCCCGTCCACCACGTCTCACCGTCGCTGGTCTGTCCTGGCGCGGCTCCCGCTCTGATCCAATAGGTAAGTTGCACCCATAACACTCTACACTTACTCTAGAAATTGATCATGCTGTATACAACACTTGCCCAAACCCTTTTCACCTAAAATAATTGATCATGTTGTATACAACACATTTGCTTGAGGCTTGGGCGTACGTGACCTCGCTGCGCATAACATGATAAGCAAGGTCATGACAAGGATCCTGCAGCCCAGCGATGTCCCATGCTACCAATGGTTTGCATCAACATACTGTCGAAAAGAGATACCACTTACGGTGCGCAGTACTGACACTGCCATTTGGCGCTGCATCAAATCTTCTCTACCGCTTGTCATACAGTCCACAAGGTGTGAGCTTGGAGATGGCACCACCATATCTTTCTGGTATGATCTATGGACAGAGAATGGCCGGCTATCCCACTCCTTTCCAACCCTTTTCACCTTTGCCAGATGCAAGTCTTGCACTGTCGCCTCACAGTACGTCTCTGGACACTGGATGATGCAACTTCACCCTAATCTATCTTACACAGCGCTGCGGGAGCTGGAGACACTAACTGACTTACTAAGCTGCATCTCACCAACCACTGCCAGAGCAGACATCAGGAGGCCGCTAGCATTCGATAGCAAGCTTTCTACGGCATATTTTTACAAGCTGCTTACATTCAGGGGCAGGGACTGCCCATCGGCCCGTTACATTTGGGACCGAATCATACCCAAAAGACACCGCGTCTTCCTATGGCTGGCCCTCAAGGACAGGCACAATACTCGGGATAACATGCTAAGGAAGCACTGGACAAGGATTGTAAAGCACAATGGATGTGATCTATGCCCAGCAGCCGAAACTATGCATCATATCCTGCTCAGATGCAAACTTGCCCAAACTGTTTGGGCCAAGGCCGGCCTCCTGGACTTGGTCTCAGCTGAATCTGCAGCAGATTTCTTGGCCTCTGAAATAGCGAAGGCACATGGTGCGCTTTGGCATGTCTTCTTTGCAGCTGCTGCCGTAGCACTTTGGCATGCTAGGAATGAGCAAGTTTTTCATAACAAGTGTTGGACAGCCGGGAGGATTCTCACTGAGGTTGCCGATCTGATCAAGCTATGGAGACTGCGAGCACCCGAGGGAAATGTCAGGGAACGTCTATCTTCTTGGGCTGATGTAATTGTGCGAGAATAACTGCAAAGTTTTTTTTCTCCTCCACTTCCCCTCTCCCTCCTGTCTTTCCTTCCCTCCCTTTCCTTGTTTTATTTCCCAGGCTTGGCGTTGGCCTGCTGCATGCTCTGTGCGGCGCTCACAACGCCTTCATCTAAAATGACTTTGGTCTCTCAGGCTACGGCCTGTTTTGAATGCATAAGGTAGAACATGATCTACCTTTTCTTTCAAAAAAAACAACACATTTGCTTGATCCCAGCAATCCATCAAATTAAGTGCATAATTAGTACACATAAACTTAAGGATAAGAAGTTCACTAGCCAGAATAAAATTACCTCATGTCTCTGTCTGGCTGCTGAACGTAGCTGGTCTTGTTTCTGTTGACACAAAAGAGAACTATCTTAGAATTTGATTGAGTAACTTCATTCCAAATTCCAAATAGAAAGCTCTGCTTATGACATCGTAGTTCAACAGTGGATCATTCAAACGCTCAAGGAGAAAAACAAGAAGGTTTAATTATTCAAGTGGTCCTCAGGGCATAGTTTTAAATAGCGGAGATAATGTCCGCTATTGCGGTAGCGCTATTGCGGCCGCTATTGCGGCCGCTATTTCTGAAATTAAATGTCATTACTTTTGTTAATGATCTAGAATTATAGACAATAATCTAGTGTTCTCAGAAATCTGCTATGCGGACATAGCGCCTACAATATCGCCAGCTATCTGCGTTCCGCTACATGGACCCCAATCCGCTACCAGCCCGCTACCCGCTATTTAAAACCTTTTCAGGGGGACGAGCACAATAATAATTAGGTAAATAATTGCAAAGGGACTTACTTTGTCTTGCTTCATTCTTTCATTCCTCTCCTTTGTCTTGCTCTTTATCTCTTTGGTGCTCAGGTCAGAATGCTAAAAAGAAACAGATGGCATTATGTTCTATAAAATGTATTATTATGCAGTTATATAGAATAACTTAAGAATGGGAATGGGTTGGCCCGCTCCGGCCCGGACCTGGTACCATTGGCCCATCTGCTTTGTTCAGGGACATGGAGCCAGCCCAATGGTCCAATGGTGATCAGCCTCATGCCCCACTGGGTAACATGGTCTGACCCATTTTAATTGACACAAAATAGGAAATAGTAACACAACATCTTTACAAATAGCATCCTTAGCGGTAGAATTTTTTAGCATGTTAGGATCTCTAGAGTTAATTTTTTTCCAAAGAAAAACAAGGCGTACATATGGCCGTTAGCATATTTGTAACTCTAGAACAAAGGTAATTTTGGATCGATACTTTAAATTTTTCTATAAATACAAGGCTAATAACCCTCATAAATGCACATGCCACTGTAAAGGCTACTACAACTTTGGGCAACCAAATTTGGGTTGACTCACTTGTCCCGATGACCGATGGGACTGTGGTGTACGGCTCCCCTGGCCCATTTTTCATACGAAGCCGACCCAAAAGACCCATTGGCCTTGAAATTTTGGGTCGGACCAACGTCTCAATGGGTAACATTGGCCCATTCCCATCTTGAGAATAACTACTATTGATCATTGAGCAACCGCATATTGATGGAACTAGTAATTCCTTTGTTCCATGCATGTAGAGTACAACTAGTCACATATATCTCCCAACAATTTCAGAGAAGTTATTCGGTTCATCATGTGTGGCCAACAAAACCTGTGTGATGCTCGACCAGTTTCACAAACGAATATTACCAAAAGGGAGTGAAGAACGTCTTCAACAGCCCCAGAATGATGGACTGTCTCAACATGCTGGACAAGAAGCTTCTTCACCCGTGGTTCCTCTGAAGCTTATCAATGGTGAGTTATGTTAAATAGGGTAAAATCATGAGTGACAGGTTACATGCAAACAGGAGGTGGTTGGTCCATACCTTGGGCACTGGAGGAGGGTTGGGAGATGGAGAGGCTCGAGAAATCGAGAATGGCCTTCTTCATGGGCCTCTCATTGATCTCCAGCCCTAACAAAGCAAGGAAAAAGACAACCTTTATTCACCTAAAAAAACATTTCTTTTTCACAGTAAAATTGATGAAACGGAGAGGGAGGAGCAGTGGGAAGGAAAGAGCAGGGCTGGAGGAGTGCTCACAGAAAGCGTCGGGGCGGGCCTGCGAGGGCTTGCGCTTGACCCGGACGACGACGGGCTTCTCCCGCACCTCGGCCGCGGAGGTGGAGGCGTCTCCGGCGGCCTCCGCTGCAGACGCCATGGCCGGCGAACCGGGGAATAACTAGGAGCCCGGGGACCGCTAGCCCCTGTCCTCGGCGCCTCGCCTGCACGAAGAGAGCCCCAAAGAAGAAAGGTTGTTGCGCTGCCGGCCAGAGGGGGTTTCGGGAAAAGGGGGATGGAGAAGCCGCAGCGAGTCCGAGACGAAGAAACTACTCCAGAAAGCAGATCATGGGCCGATTAGCAGCACGGTTGGGGGCCCAGTATTGAGAGCCAGGGGAATTGGCTTCTGCGCGCACCTCCCTGCCGTCGCCGGCGATGGTATGGAGGGCACCAGCGAGGCATTTCCTATTTGGCGCCACAGGCGCCAGTTAATGTGCATTTTGTTAACTGCGCCTGTGGCGTCCGTAAATGGGCCGGCCCATCTAGGCGCCAGTTGACGATTTTTTTTTGAAAATTCTGTGAACTTTTTTGAATATTGATGAATTTTTTCGAAATTTAATGAACATTTTTATTGAAAATGGATGAACTTTTTTTTTGATTTGTGAACTTTTTTTTCAGTTCCATGAACTTTTTTTCAATTTCTATGAACTTTTTTTCAATTTGAATGAACATTTTTTCAATTTGATGAACTTTTTTGAGATCGATGAATTTTTTGAAATTTAATGAACTTTTTTCTTGAAAATGGATGAACTTTTTATTTGTGAACTTTTTTTTCAGTTCCATGAACTTTTTCTAAAAATAAATGAACTTTTTTTCAATTTCTATGAAGTTTTTTAAATTTGATGAACTTTTTTTCAATTTGAATGAACTTTTTTTCAAACTGATGAACTTTTTTCAAAACTGGTGAACGTATTTTTCCAAATGGATGAACTTTTTAAATATGTAAACCTTTCTTGATTTTATATTTTTATTTTCGTAACAAAAAACATTTAAAAAATGGGGGCAGCAAGCTAGTGGGTCGGCCCATGCTAGCAGCGCTGCAGGCGCCGCATCATTAATGGGCGCCTGCAACGCTGTATAGGAGCTCCTCACCAGCGAGGCGCGCGTTTGATGCCTTGTCTCCGGAAATCCAAAAGATTACGCAGGGGAAACCAAGGGAGGCATGGGATTTGGACCATCAACGCCGATTACCAGCCGCGGCTGCCGCGCTTCATCTGGTTGCAACAATAATTTGGGAGCGAGGCGGAGAGAAGTCAAGGAGAAAGGGGACGTGTGAGCCCAAGAGATGATTTTTCTTTTAGGCTAATAAAGCCTAACTAAACATTCCAGCAGGAAAAAAACCTTTTCCATAAACACAGTAAAATTTCCTTAATTTGCTAAAAAAAGTAAAATTCTCTAAAAGAAACACAGTAAAAACACGCCTAAAAAAGAGTAGTATATGAACTGTCTGAATTTGATATAGTTGTGCCTCTAGAATCCTTGGCTATCTATCGTGCGGCCGTATTTGTTAACATGTGAGATGACAATGGTGCTTATTTCTGGGAGGACCACTAGCTTCATGGAATCGGGATTCAAGAAGTGACACCACTCTTATACAATTGGGTTAGACCCCGGATCAAGGCGACAATGACAGTAGTCGAGGCTCTGAATAGGCCTTGGCCAACGGACGTTGCCCCGAATCTCTTTGTTGAGGAGCTATCAACGTGCCAAGGAAAATACTAATAAGGCATATAGGGGAAAAGTTAACGGTAATGATAACTCCCGAACGTTCGGGAGTTAAGCATGGCAACCCGAACGGGTTTAGATGGCAAGTTTAGTTTACGTGAGATTAGGGAAACATGGAAATTTTCTGACAAAAAGACGAAAAAGGACATGCCATCCCCTATGAACTAAAGTTGCCATCCCCTATGAACTAAAGTTGCCATGTAAAAACGTTCAGTACGAAATGCTCAAAATCCGAACGTTCGGGAGTTATTGTATTCCAAAGTTAATGGGCCTCCATTAGGTGGAGGCCCCCCCTAGGTTCTTGGAGAAGCTTGGGGAGGCCGGATTGGAGGAGGATTCCCCCTCATAGGGTCCGCGCAAGGGGGATGGAACCTTCCCCCTCCTTCAACCTATATATACTAGAGATTTTGGGCACTTCTGGACACACGAGTTTTGAAGAATCCTCTAGTTCTCTAGTTCTAGTTGATCGAATTAGAGCTAGACATAATCCTATCTAGTCCTCATAATTAGAAACACAGTGTGGTTCTAATCTTCTCCCTCTAATTCTCCGGCGATGACAAGCCCTTTACGGCGAAGCGCTGCCGAATCGTGAAGACCATACGCTCACAAATTATGAAGAGGTCGTGCTTTTGCTCTTCCGTTTGAGTGATCGTTTGTGAACGATTCAAGGAACTTCAAGTACGATCTACACCGACTCTTCTACTGTTGCAACTCAGAGTTGGTAACGACCCGATCTAAACCATGTATGCATCTCCATAATGTTCCTGGTTTGATCATAGGATGATTTTTTTTGTTTGTCCTACGTTTCCCTATATAGAACATATGCTCGAGTGAAGACACACATAATTTGGTCGCTCATGGGCACGGAACATCTTCTCGAGTGAATCCACTCGAATTTTGTCGTAGCTATGATTAACATCATAACAAATCAAAATAATGCAGTAGTCTTAGTCTTTTGCATTTATTCCTATGGGCGCGTGATCAGCACACCCATAGGGTGTAGCCCCCAAGCCAGTGCCAGGCTGGATAAGTCTGGCAAAGGTTCTAGTTTTTCTAGAACATGTGTTGTATAAATCCCGTACAAGTAAAGCGTTAGGGATGCCGAGTGAATCGTTGTGGTACACAGAGAAGATTTGCCTCGAGTGATGCATCCAGTGCACCTCAAGTCATCTGATGAACCGAGTCTGTCAGGCTTGTTTTTGTTGCAATTGACACGGTACATGAATTGGGCCTAGAACTATGTCGATCAGGCAAATATTCATGCGCTCGGCACAGTAAATAAATTTGGACAAGAATCATTGACTGAAGAAAAAAAAACTCATCACTGCGGGCAGTAAACATTCCCGTCGTACTTGTTTCATTGACTTGAAAGTGTTTGTGTAAGAAAAACAAGCGAAGGAGAAGTGAAAACATTATAACATTCATACCCAGAAAGTTGAGCGAAAATGCAAATAAAAAACTTAAACACTATTTGTTGTAGTTAACATTATCTTTATATCTACTCTGTCATAGTTTGGCCAAGTTTTGCTCTGATTTTGTCTCACCCTACCTACTCCCATTATCCAATGATAGATTTAGGGGGAGAGGAAATTCAAGTTTAGGGGAGAAAATCCTCGAAATGTTATTGCAAATCTTACTAAACCCTTTTTGGGGACATGTCTATATCTAAAGAAGTACTCACCTAGTGATACTTATCTAATACATGTCATCCCAATTATGGTACTCTTGTGGATCTTGTGGCTCCTTGCTGAAATTTTCTTGTGTTATCTAACCTTGTTTTACAGAGCCTATTTCTTCAAGAACCTCAAGGTAAGTATATGCATCTCACTCATGTACATGATGATCTCTTGCTTGTTGCACATATTGTTTGCAAGAAGGAATCATGAACATGAAGGTACATCTTTAATCATATTGCTCTGGTGCATATAGCCAAGATACATGTAACTCATTACTCATTCTTTCCTGTTGTGCATTCACATCTCTTGAGCTTCTATCGCAAACCTGATTGCACACTTGTAGGGGGAGCTTATGCATGTTACATGTTCTTTCAAAGCTTTAATGCACTTTTTGCTATATTCTTACTTTAAGCTTTGATGTATATTGTCATCAATTACCAAAAAGGGGGACATTGAAAGCACATTTGCTCCCTTGGTGGTTTGGTTAATTAATGTCAACATACATATTGTTGGACTAACACATTTACCTAGTATATTTCAGACAAGTTCAACGGCGGCATGGCAAGGACATGAGGATGTGGACCCCTTCCAAATGTTAAAGACAAGAATTGGCAACTCCGAGACTCTATATTTTTAGTTTAGTGATCCAAGATCATATTGAGTCCCTTAGAAAAGCAATACTATTAAAAGGGGAGGAGGTATTGACGATGAGGTTGTTGATCAAGTGCTTAGTGATATTGCTCCAAAAACCTAGGCATTTTCTCAAAACACATCTGTCCAAACTCTAATTTCCCATCTCGGTCCCACCGAAAATACCCCATCCGGATTGTGACGCCCGGATATTTAGGCTACAGTAATTCCACGCTAATGATGCCACGTCACCTCAGTTACTGTTATTAATCTCGCGATGGTTCGAAAACGATTCAAATTCAAATTTAAAATCAAGTCAAATGATTAAAGTTTTCAAAAGTCAAAACTAAAATGTTCTTAATGTGACAAATAAATCATGGATATTATTTGTGGAGTAACAACATCTTTATAAGATATTTAAATACCCTATAGTGATTAAGACAACATCAAAACAATTAGTTATACTCCTAATATATTTTACCAAATACTAAACTATTTTTATCCTGAGGTAAAACTTCTTAGAACAGTGGATTATTTTGACACACTATTTTTGGGGCTATTTTCATATTTTACTAAACCAAAAATAAAGTGTAAGTAAAAGAAGACAGAAACAAGAAAATAAAGAAAAGAAAAATAAAAACAGAAAACAAAACAAAAACAAAAAAAGGGCAAAACCCCACCCCCCACTGGACCAGGCGGCCCAGCTCACAGGCCAGGCCAGCCAACCTGGCCCAACCGGCCGCGCCCCCACTCCCTTATCCCCTCACCCCGCAAACCCTAACCCATAACCCCCACTCCCACATGATTCCCCTTTCCCCCTCGTCTCCTCCCTTGGCGTCCCCGATCCAGATCGGGCACGGCCCTGCCGCCCACCGCCGACCTCCGTCGCCGAACCCCGTCGCCGTCGCGCAAGCCCCGACGTCGCCGCCTCGTCCCGCCACCACCTCGCGGACGCCACCTCCCCACCGGGAGCCACCGCATCGAGCCCAGCACCGCCTTCTTCCTCCTCAGCCCCGTCGAGCTGCATCGTCGATTCCGGCACCTCCGAGCCTTCCCCGAGCCCACTAAG